ACGCCGCCTCTCCATCAAGTCCTACAGACCTGCCCCACGAGGTTTCCAAGGCGGTCATCTTTTTTTTTAAAGTTTTTATTGCGGACTGAGCGATAGTTTACATGGGTGAACATGGCTTTACACCATCATTTCATCCCAATGACTACACTCTCCTCTGTGCATCAGCATTCAACAGTATTTGCTTCCATTCCTTGTTTTTCTTTTTTGTTGTTGTTGGGGGCTGGGGGGTTGTATACAGAAATACTCGGGAATATATAATAATGTAAACAACCAAAGGACACATTCTGCAAGCCTGCCTTCTGGCTGCCAGCACACAGCCCCTCTCTTTCCATGAGTCTAGAGTCCTCAGCTGCTCCCTCTCTCCGTGTCCCCATCTCTGCCTCCATCTCTGGTGTCCCTGCTTCTCTGGATAAGGTCCGGCATTCCACTTGTGCTCTTCGCCCTCGATGGTCCTAGGGTCCTCTGTTTCTGGAATGTAAGATTGACTACGATCCTGTTTTTGTTACAAAACTTCTTCCTTTACAGTGGTGACTGCCGCAGTTAGTCATGATAATAACTGCTCACTATTCAATCATAAGGCATCCTGGAGCAGCACTGTGCATTAGAACTTTTCATAATGACAGAGTATTCTAGAACCGCACTGTTCAAAAGGATAGCTGCTGCTCACATGTTCCACTGAGCACTTGGAGTGCAGCCAGTATAACTGCCGAACTGGGATTTAAGTGTATTTAATTTTCATCAATAAAACTCTAAGTTGCCACCTGAGTCTTGTGGCCACTCCGCTGGACAACAGGAGCCGCAGGAATTGTATCCCTAGTGACCCACAGTGATGAATATAGGAAGGGTGATATTTAAAGGAGGTATATTTAAAGGAGCTTTGGTGATATAGTAGTTTAAACGCTGGGTGACTAACAGCAAGGTCAGCAGTTCAAATCCATCAGCTGCTTCAAGGGAGAACGATGAGGCTGTACACTGTTAGGAAGATTTACAGCTCAGAAACCCTAAGGAACTATGAAACCATTCTCTTCTGCACTATGCAGTCTCTAGGAGTCAGTGGGTTTTGGGTTTGATACATTTACAGAGCAAATGAATAAGCAACGGTCGTGGGATCTCAGTCATGTCAGGTTTCCATCGCTTGCATTGGAGAGTCTGAACATAGCGCTTGGTAGGTGAGTGGGATCTTGTCACCTGCTCCAGTCCGCAGAGCCCAAGAACCTGCATGGGGAGTCCAGCAGTACACAGAAGTCCTGGTGTGGCTTCCAGTGGGCACTCTCTCCTCCTCCAGTTAAAGCCCAATATACAAACAATAGGGCAATCAAGACCAGCTTTCAGCCTTTGTTTCAGTTAGAGAACAATGCTCTCTGGTGGAAGGAGGGTTTCTGATGGGTTTTATTCAGAGCCAAATCCCTGAGAAAGCTAGAGAGCATCCGAGGCTGTCCTATTGTGGGGCCCCCTTGCATTCTGTTTACTCCTGGCTGCCAATGCTTCCATATAGAGATCCCACACTCCAGGTGGAAGAGAAGACCAGGGCAAGGATTTCCTGCCTGGGGGTGTTCCCTGGAAATGAAGACCACTACCAGTTAGCGTAGTGGTTATGAATCGAGCTGTGAACTGCAAGGTCAGCAGTTCGAAACTACCAGCTGTTCCACAGGAGAAAGATGAGGCTTTCTGCTCCCGTAAAGGTTTACAGCCTCGGAAACCCTGTACAGGGTCGCTATGAGTTGGAACCAACTCCACGGCACACAACAACAACCAGTTGCCATCAAGTTGGCCCACCTGCTGGTGAGTCCTGTATGTCAGAGTTGAACTGCACTCAGTAGGGTTTTCAAAGGCTGGTTTTCTGGAAGTAGATTGCCAGGTCTTTCTTCCAAGGAACCTCTGGGTGAACTTGAACTCCCAACCTTGCAGTGAGCATCTGAGCACATTGACCATTTTCGCCATCACTAAATGAGAAATGAAGTCATCCCTCAAACCCAAAGCGAAACTCAGCTAACAGCCACCAACTCTAAAATAAAGCCCCTCCTCAGAAGGAGAAAGAACATGGGCACCTTCCTGATCCGTATTTCCACGGCTTACTTTCTTCGAGAGTTTATCAGTGAAGCGAATACCCTCAGTCAGCGAAGGATCAAGCACCAAGTCCCACTACCCGCTAGAATTTCAATGCCCGTTTCATGGCTTTGGGAAACACTCATTCTGGCTGAGAGCCAAGAATTCCAAGATGAGTACTTCTCGACCTTCAGGAAGTAAAAGTCTGAAAAGAATAAAGCTGCTCATTCTCCTAGGCTAGGTAACACTTTTGGCTAAGGACTTTCCAAGACGGTTAGAAGCCTTGGGGAACCAATTCTCATTTGTGAGGGAAGATGAGAACTTAAAACAGGTCCTGGTATGTCACTGTGGGATCAGCACTGACTGTGAACCACAAGGTCATCAGTTCTAACCCACCAGCCGCTCCTCAGAAACCCTATACAGGGTCGCTATGAGTGGGAACAGACCGCACTTAACAAGAGGACTATTGGAAGAGACCTCGTGTGGCCCTGTGGGATAAAACACTAGACAGAAAGGTCAGTTTGAACCACAAGGTCAGTGGTTCAAACTCACCAGAAGCTCCTAGGAAACCCTATACAGGATCGCTATGAGTCAGAGCTGACTTGACAGCATTTAGTAACTTTGGAGGGTGGCTTGCTGCTGCCCTCTGGTGGAACTCAGTGGCAAGTGCAGCAAACAATTGTTCTATACTTCTTTCAACAGCAGTAACCCTGCTAGGGATATAGTAGATAAACTACACATTGGGCTCACCTACAGGATGAGGGAGAGAGACAAGGAAATTGAGAATCAATGCAAGAGGTGGTCATCTTGCGAGAGAAGCATTCATCCCCCATATTCCTTCCACAGAGTGCAGAGGTCTTGAGGGGAAAGGGTTCCTGGGAAAAGTAAGGCGGGAAGTGTGTCTAGAGGGAACTGAGGCAGCACGGAGAGAAGGGCCCAGCACTGGTGACCTGGCGGGGAGGCACTGGAGGCACGTGGCAGAGCGGGGACTCCCAGTAGGATAGAGGGGTTCTAGAAAAAAGTGAACCAAGAGCTGAAACCGAAACTTTAAGGTTTGAGAGTATCATGTGCAGATCTGCGCTCCAAGTCAGAGACAACTCCCCCAGTGCTCAGCACTCCCAAGACAGATGTGCTGTTAAAGGTACGAGTAGCTTCTCACAGACAGATAAGGGGAGTGAGCATTTACTCAAACACCTTTAACAAGGGTTTTTGGTGTGGTGTTTTTTTTTGCCATGCATATTCTCAACAACAACAAAATACGTAAAAATTTAGAAGAAGAGAAAAATTGAGCCCCTTGGGTTTCTCTAGGTCCCCCAGCAGTCTCTCTGAGGGAGAAAGACGAGGTTGTCTGCTCCCGTAGAGGTCGACAGTATCCGAAACCCTAAGGAGCCGATCTGCTCTGTTCCATAGCGTGGGTCTGAGTCAGAATCAACTGGATGCCAGCACTGTGTGCAGGGTCCAGAACCACACACTCAAGAGACAATGGCCAGAAGCCGCCAAGGGCCTGCTTCTATGCAGTTCACAGTCTAGCGGGGAGACGGATCGATAAGGAAATCCTTCCCACCATGTAGGGGATTGGCTGGTTGTGACTGTGTGCTGTGGACTCAGTTCAAGGTCAGTGGTTCAAACCCACCAGCTGCTCCCTGGGAACCCTGTACAGAGTCACTGTGAATCGGAACCAATTTGACAGCACTTAACAACAACAACAAGAATGCACCAGTCAATTCGCAGGAGAAACATGAGGCTTCCTGCTCCTGTTTCAGCCTCAGAAACCCTATACAGAGTCGCTATGAGTCGGAACCAACTTCTCAGCGCACCACCACCACCAGCCAATCCCCTACATGGTGGGGAGGATTTTCTGGTAGATACCAGTCTCCCAGCTTCACTGCGCTGCAAAAGGTAGGACCATAGTGAGCCCTAAAGAAAAGATGTCCAAGTCTTAACTCCAGCTCTTGAGAAAGTATGCTGAGAAAGTTTCTTCTTTGGGGAAAGCGTCTTTTCAGATGTGATTATGTGCAGGGTCTTGACTGACGGTCATCCTGGACTCAAGGTAAACACTAAAGCCAACAGGTGGCTTCCTTATACGAGAGAGACGCAGACACACGACAGGAATTCCGGCCATTTGAAGACAGAGGCCGAGATGGAGCGATACATCTTCAAGCAGAAGTACTAAGACCACCAGTAGCCGGCAAAAGCTAGCAGAGAAGCGCAGGGCAGAGTGACCCACAGAGCCTTGCAGCCAACCTGGCCTTCAGAACTGCAAGAACCTACGTTTCTGTTGGACTTCGCCACTCAGTCTGTGCTACTTTGTTATGGCAGCCCTGGGCAACTAAAATACCCAGAAAAGTTTCAAAATATAAGGCAGATGATGACTCATCTGTCCATTTGTCTTATTACAGGAGCTGGAGTGTGGCTGTGGTACTGGACACTAGGCCGCTGGTATTTCAAATTCCAGCGGGGTCACCCAGGGTAGACAGGCTTCAGCAGAGCTTCCAGACCAAGACACGCTAGGAAGAAAGGCCTAGGGAACCACTCCCAAAAATCGGTCAATAAACACGCTGTGGGATCACTGGAATAGCTTCCGGTTCGGTGGCCTCAACCATGGACGGAAACATACCGATGGAAGGCAGTTCTGACGGCGCAGGAACAGGCAAAGATTCACCCGGCTGTGCACGGCGAAGTTTCAGTATGAGTTGGGGCCGGCTTAACTACGACCAGCAAAACCTACCTCTGACGCAACCCCACTATTTCCACCGCCAGGCCTTGCCTCCTCGGGCCTCAAGGGTACAAGACCTCCCAGAGCTGCCTGAGCGCCGGGGCTCCCACGTTCCAGACCACCATGTGCCATCCATCTCATCATGCAGGGGGTGAAAGGTACAGAAGTGTTGGGGAGGAGAGCACCCCACCCAGCCCGACCCACACCTATCAGGGCCAGTCTCCACGTGCCCACTCACCGGCCATGTGCACGCTCCTGAGGCAGGAGAGAGAGGCGTTGAGGCGGGCACACTCTTCCTGGTTGGCTCCGTATTTCTCCACAGTCTTGCACACCTGCTCCTCGGTCATGTCCAAGAGCTCCTCCAGACTCAGCTGGCCCGGGCTGATCTCCTAGTGGAGGAAGGGACAGAGAAGGAAGGTCAACTCAGCTGGCCTAGGATGGTCTCCTAATGCAGGGAAGGGACCATGAGGACCACAGCGGTCCTGAAGCGCAGGAGCCCTGGCATGCCTCTATGCTGCCCACTGGTGGCTAAAAGTGGACTCCCAGGCCACAGTGTTTGCATAGTGGTTGAGGCTTGGGCTCTGAGGTTTCTAGATTTTAATCCTAGTGTTGTTGTTACTCATTAGCTAGATGGCCTTGGACAAATCACTTAACCTCTCTGAACCTCACCTTACTCATCTGTAAAAAGGAATGTACATACCTCACTAAAAATTAATAAAAACAGTTGCCTTCAAGCTAACTCGGACGCATGGTGATCTGATGTGTCACAGTAGAACTGTGTTCCATAGGATTTGTAATGGCTGGTTTTCTGGATGCAGACCACCACGTCAAGTCACCTCCAAGTGGACTTAAACCTCCAACCTTTGGGCTAGCAATGCACACAGTCATGTTGTTGTTGTTAAGTACCGTGGAGTCGGTTCTGACTCACAGAGACCCTGCACAGGGTTTCCGAGGCTGTAAATCTTTATGGGAACAGAATGCCTCATATTTCTCCCGTGGAACCGCTGGTAGTTTCGAACTGCTGACCTTGTGCTTGGCAGCCCAACTCATAACCACTATGCTACCAGGGCTCTTTGCACACAGTCATAAGTAAGCACATATGTATAACACACAATAGTTGTTGGTGTCATGTGCCATGGAATCGGATCTGACTCATAGCAACCCTGTTTAGGGTTTCTGAGACTGTATATATTTATAGGAACAGAAAGCCTCGTCTTTCTCCCAAGGAACCTCTGGTAGTTTTTGAACTTCTGACCGTGGAGATTAGCAGCCCGACTCAGTAAGCACTACACTACCAGAGCTCCTTATAAATGGCAGAAGTTCCTTACACCACTTCTGAGCCGCTCCAGGGCAGGCCCCTATGTTCTTCCCCACTGAACAGCCCCCATACCGCCCACCCATCTCAGTAAGTACTTTCTAGAGTAGAGAGATTTGTTCAAATTCTAAGGGAGAACTCAGAACAGGGCCAACTGGGCTCATGGGTCTCGTGTTGGCTGTTTTCCTCCTGGTTTCCCCTCTTCTCTGGCACCACAATCAAGAGCTCATACTGGGCTTCCCAAAACCCTAAAGGGAAAGCGACTTGAACTAAGTTGATGGCTTGAAGCTGGAACTGTGCCTGAGCCAAGGGCCATGGGTTCTGCGTGCTCAGACCAAGTGGAGAGACTAGAGTAAGCACAGTGTGGGGAAGACAGAAAAGAAGAATATTCCTTCACTACCACCAGCATCCATCGCCCCCTTTCCCAAAACAGTCTCTCCCTAGACAGATCCATCTCGAAATCATCAAACCTGGGTATCCACAGCTTTAACTATACATGCAAGCAAGAGCCTTCATCTTACGGTACTTCAGTTTCCAAACGTGTTTAAATAAATTCTAGTACTTACATAGAATCTATTTAGGAAGACTGTAGAATAATTGATAGATTTGAGTTGTGGTGTTGGAGAAAACACTGAAAGTACCATGGACTGCCGGAATAACAAACAAATCTGTCTTGGAAGAAGTGCAGCCAGAATAGAATGATCCTCAGAAGCCAGGATAGCAAGATTTTATCTCTCAGACTTCAGACACGTTATCTGGAGAGACCAGTCCCTGGAGGAGGACATCATGCTTGGTAAAGAGGAGGGACAGAAAGAAAAAAAAAAGAGGAAGACCCCCAACAAGATGGACAGGAAGATGGCAGCATCAATGGACTGAAATATGCTAACAATAGTGAGGATAGTGCTGGAGCAGGCAGTGTGCACAGGGTTGCTGTGAGTAGAAACCAACTCAACAGCACATAACAACAATGTTGCTAAGTGCCTTGGAGTCACTTCTGACTCATAGCAACCCTGTATGGGATTTCCAAGGAGCAGAGGGTGGGTGTGAACTGTGACTTTGCAGTTAGCAGTCCAGTGCTTATCCTATAGCTCCACACCAGGACAAACAGCAATTTCAAATACATTTGGTCTAGCACTGTAGAATACACTGGAAGATAAGCACTTGACTACTAACCACAACGCTGGTGGTTCAAACCCACGAGCTGACCCTTGGAAACCCTTTATAGGGTCTCTGTGAGTCAGGCTGACTGGTAACACCTAACACCAATGCACAGCTACTGTTGTGAAGTATCTCTGCCCTCTTGTAGCCAGGTCTGTGTACAGAACACAAGCCCTGTATTCCCCACATTTGTTGTTGTTGTTGTTGTTGTTGTTGTTAACCGCAGCTGAGTCAGGTTACAACCCATAGCGACCCTGTAAACAGTCTCCAAGGAGTAGCCAGTGAACTTGAACTGCAGGCTTCCTGGTTCATGCGGACTTTGCAGTCGAGTGCATTAACCCACAGCGTCACACCAGGACTCCATTCCCCACATATGTAAGACTAATAACCAGAGAGAGGAAAACTGCATCAGCACAAAAATCCTATTAAAAAATGAACTGCAGGGAAAAGGTTAAAGCCTAATCAGGAGACTTCCAACTCATGAAGGTAGGAGACACAGAGAAAACAACTGAGTCATTTAGACACTTTCTCAAACTGGGGCATCTTGCACATAAACCCGCACAGAATATGGGAACACTGAACAGTTGTAAATGAAGAAAGGTGTGCAACAAGGTTGTATTCTTCCACCATACTTATTCAACCTGTATGCTGAGCAAATAATCCGAGAAGCTATGAAGAAAAACTTGGCATTAGGACTGGAGGAAGACTCATTAACAACCTGCGATATGCAGATATGCAAATGATACAAACTTGCTTGCTGAAAGTGAAGAGGACTTTAAATATTTACTGATGAAGATCCAAGAACACAGCCTTTGGTATGGATTGCATCTCAATGTAAAGTAAACAAAACTCCTCACCACTGGACATTCTTATCAACAGAGAAAAGATTGAAGTTGTCAAGGACCTCATTCTTCTTGGATCAACTACCAACACTGACGGAAGCAGCAGTCAAGAGTTCAGACAACATATTGCATTAGGCAAATCTGCTGCACAGGACCTTTTTAAAGTGTTGAGGGAAAGAACAAACAAGATGGCGGAT